AGATGGGCGGCTCTCAGTCTAAGGATGAGAAGAAGAAGGGTGACTCGGGGAAAGCAGGATTGACATGCAATCACTACAAACAGACATAGCACGTGGCTGATCGTTGTTGGGATAAGTATCCTCATCTAAAGCCAAAAGGGTTGAAGAAGAAGGAGGAGAAGAAGGCGTACGTGATAGCACAGGGTCCGAAGGAGGTTCCCGGGATGACTGAACCCAATAGCAGTCTCAACCTTATAGCGAGGAAGCAGGCCACTAAAGAAGATGACGACCCGAGGGAGCAGCTCTTTGTTCTGAAGTTACAGGTCAAGACCAGCTTAGTGGATGCTATTGTAAATACAGGAAGTCAGAAAAATCTGATATCTGAGGCATTAGTACAGAAGCTGGGATTAAAGACGGTGAAGCATCTGAAGCCCTATCCATTAGGGTGGATTCAGAAGGAGGCGGGATTGAGTGTGGTGAACCAGTGTTCATTCAGATTTGCACTCCATGAGTCGTATATTGACGAGGTCACATGCGACGTGGTTCCGTTGGATGTTTGCCAAGTTATTTTGGGCAATCCTTATTTGTAGGATAGATACGCAGTATATGATCGGCGAGCCCAAAAGTATACGTTCACCAAGGATGGCGAGCAATTCATTTTTCGTTCGGCATCTCTTCCACAGGAGACGAGCTTGGTGACGGTGACTCAGGCTAAGAGGTTGGTGAATGCGGGCAGGAAGTTCGTTTTATTGTTCATTCGACCGTATGAAGAGCAGCTGAGTAGGATGTGCTTGTCCACCTTGAGCAAGCTTCAGGAGGGAGATCTTGACAGGTTAAAGACCAAGTATGCGGACTTGTTTTCGGAGATCACGGGACTACCACCACGTTAAGGTGTAGAGTATGAGATTATGTTGACCGGGGAGAGTTCCTTACCTAACATAGGTCTATACCGCACATCAGTACAGGAGTCCGAGGAGATCAAGAAGCAGGTTCAGGAGCTCTTAGAGACGGGAGTGATTGTGCCGAGTTGTTTGTTTTGCGGGTCACCAGTGTTGTTGGTGCCCAAAAAAGGATGGAGGCTGGCGCATGTGCGTAGATTACCGGGCGCTCAACAAGATAACCATCAAGAATCGCTACCCATTACCGCGGATCGATGATCTTATGGACCAGTTGGAGGGAGCGAGGTTTTTCACGAAGCTGGATTTGAAGTCTGGTTACCATCAGGTGAGGATTCGTGAGGAAGACACTTGGAAGACTGCGTTCAAGACCAAGCAGGGCCTGTTCGAGTGGTTGGTGATGCAGTTTGGATTGTGCAACGCTCCGGCTACCTTTATGAGGCTTATGAATGATTTGTTGTGACCTTTTATAGAGGATTTTGTGATAGTTTACCTTGATGATATCTTGGTGTATAGCAGGACTTGGGAGGAGCATCTCGTTCATGTTGAAAGGGTATTTGAAGTGTTGCAGGACGGACAGCTGAAGCTCAACGGGAAGAAGTGTGAGTTCAGGAAGGACGAGTTGGTGTATCTCGGCTTCATCGTAGGGAAGGGCCAGCGGAGGATAGATCCAGACAAAGTGGAGGTGATCACGAGGTGGCCGACGCCGAAGACAGTGACTGAGGTGAGGAGCTTCATGGGAGCTTGCCCGTATTTGCGCAAGTTCATTCGATATTTTTCGACTTATGCGGCACAGTTACATGGCCTCACAAAGGCTAAAGTTCAGTTTGAGTGGGGGAGGACGCACGAGGAGGCTTTTCAGTTGCTAAAAAGGAAGATCTCGGAGGCACCGGTGTTGACGTTGTCGAATTTGCAGCGGACTTTCGAGGTGGAGACCGACGCGTCTAGTTATGCGATGAGCGCGGTGTTGATTCAGGATGGGAAGCCGGTGGAATACCATTCTGAGAAGTTTTCGGGTGCTGTTGCGAACTACCCAACCTACGATAAGGAGTTCTATGCACTATATCAAGTAATTAAGCATTGGAGGGTGTACTTGTTGGGGAAGGAGGTGGTCGTGCATTCAGACCACAAGCCGTTGGAGTTCTTACATGCCCAGACGAAGCTACAGCAGGCACGACACATAAAGTGGATGCCTTATTTGATGACTTTCAACATCGTTATTAGGTACAAGAAGGAAACGGCGAACAAGTTGGCCGATATGTTATCTCGTCCGCCGATGAGGTCTTTATTGGTGGCGACGCGTATTCAGCCCTTAGTTCCTTTGGAGTATGTACAGTTGTACGCATTCAGTAGAAACTTTGGTAGTGTGTTTGAGCAGGCGAAGGCTGGTCGAAGGGGGGGGAGTATGCACTTGGAGAAGATGACTTGTTGTATCGTGGGACATCACTAAGCATTCTGGAGGATGGTGATAGGTTGCAGTGGATTCGGGAAGCACATACCTCGCGTGTGCAAGGGCATTATGGCATTCAGAAAATGCTTCTCAATCTACGACGACATGTGTTTTGGCCACGGATGCTTGATGATGTGACCAAGTATGTTGGAGGGTGTAAGTTATGCTGTATTTCGAAGCCTTCTAACAGGAAGAGGGGATTGTACCTACCATTACCGGTTCCTTCTAGACCGTGGGAGAGCATTTCTATAGATTTTCTAGGAGGGTTGCCGACTACGAAGCGCGGGCATGACTATTTGTACGTTATGGTGGACCGGTTCAGCAAGATGGTGATATTGATTCCTTATAAGAAGACCGTGACGGGAGCGGGTGCAGCACAATTGTTCTTTGAGCATGTGTGGAAGCACTTTGGGTTGCCGAGTTCGATTATTTCGGATCGGGATAGCCGTTTTCTCGGGCATTTTTGGGATTCTTTGTGGAGTTTGATGGACACTAAATTGAAGAAGAGCACGGCCTTTCATCCACAAACAGACGGACAAACGGAGGTAGTCAACCGGACTATGGTGCACATGTTGCGGGGGTATAATTCTAGGCATCCTAAGACTTGGGATGAGAGTTTACCATATTTGCAGTTTGCTTTTAATCGGGCAATTCATGGATCTTCCGGAAAGTCACCGTTTGAGACTTGTTATGGATTTTTACCGCCGAGCCCGTTCGATCTTGTGTTTTCAAGTGAAGCCACAGTGGACGGCAAGGAGGGGAGTGAGAGACAACGTGCTCAGCGATTTCTCGAGAAGATTGCACATATTCATGCCACGGTTGAAGCTCAATTGAAGAAATCACAAGCTAAGTACAAGGCGAAGCATGATCAACATCGGGTTCCTTGTAACTTTGGTAAAGGCGATATGGTATAGCTAAAATTGAGTAAGGAGAGGTTAAAAGAAGAAGGGAAGAAGTTGAAGCCTATTCGTTATGGTCTGTTTCGGATTCTCGATCAGATTGGCGACAACGCTTTTTGATTAGATTTACCGCCTTACTTAGGCATGTATTCGGTGATCAATGCCGAGTACTTGAAGTTGTTTGAACCTCCGTTATTGGATGATGAAGGTGATGACAAGATGATCTTATCGCATGTTGAAGACTTGTGGTTTGATAGAGAGGAGCCACCGAAAGAAGATTGCATTTTGGAACGGAAAACGACCAAGACGAGGTGGGGGACGAAGGAGTCATTTCTCATTGGACGTCAAGGTCAGGTTCCTAGCAAGGCTAAGTGGTTCAACAGAGAAGGAGGGGCTCGGTCACAGCGGTCATCCGCGTAGTGCACAGACCCAGACTGTGTCTCTGGACTGAGAGCGGTCGACCGCTGTAGGCGCTGCGGGCGACCGGAAACTCTGTAAGCGATTTTTCCAGAAATCGACGTTCTGGCCGGTCGACCGAATTGGTCACTGCGGTCGACCGCGTAGCGGTTATGGGCCTGGGCCTGTTTCCTGCACCGTTTAGGATTTCTGTTTAGTATAAATAGAAACACGATTTTTCTAGGGTTTATCACTCAGATTGTAATCAGAAAAGAGATCAGGGAGGTTGTTCTTTGATCTAGAGAGATTGTGAGAGAGAGATTTTGTAAATCCAATTGATTCTCATAATCTAAAGAAGGTATTTTCCTTCGCCCTAATTATAACTCTTGTGTTCTTCTGTCGTTTTCTTCTCTACCCACTCTTGATAATTCCGCGATCAAGAGTGCTCGCACGGCAACTCGTATCATGTAGTGACACATCCTCTTAGAAATATATATTAGAACTTATTGACTTTTAACACATCTATGCAGTGATATATATGACGAAACATGTTGTTTTAATATATAATATATAATTATAATTTTGACACAATTTATCTATTCTTCTATAATAATAGAAGGATCTAAATATTTACTATTCATGTTATAGTAAATGATACAACAAATTACTGTAGCATTATTGCCGTAGCATATATACGAGAGCTGTAGCGCTTTAAAAATATTAATGTAGCTTTATCACTGTAGCACAGACGAGACACTGCAGCATTTAAAAATGTTACTGTATCACTTACAAAAAACATTTAAAAACATAATTACTGTAGTGAAAATAAAAAAAATGAAGATCGTGCTTTGCACGGGGTGCACACAAGTACTACTTAATAAGAAGTATTGTTGAATGATGAAAGATATCATTTTTGTAGTAAAAAAAATGGATAATAAGAGAAAAATGTTAAAGAATTGGAAAAGACAAGATATCTCTTCACATGTGTTTAGGTGTCATGGATGCAATTTTCTTGATCAATTTATTAAGGGAAGGGGTCATGAATGGATGCAACTTTTTTTGAATTTGCAAAGCGGCAAAAATGCAAAACAGTGGGGAAATGCTCCAATCGTTGGCTTATAACGGTCAGCAATATAACGCCGTCACCGCCTATTTTTTTTTTAAATAAATCAACCATTTATTAATTATTAATCCAGTAATAATTTCATAATATGAAAACTTTCACCTTCTACTAGCTCCACTTTAATTAGTACCGCCTCTATTCTCTTAATTAATTAACAAAATTAACAAAAAAAAAAAAGGAGAAAACCAAATTTAAATTAAAAAATATAAATAGAGTAAAGCTGGTCTATAATAAAAAAATCCAAGCCAAAAAGATCGGAGATCGGATCCAAGTACTACTGGCCTATACTCTCTGCTCTTCTGCTGCAAGTCTTCGCTTCTCCTCAAGGACCTAATTTCTTCTCTCTAGATCCTCGCGATTTTTCAAGGTACATTTTTCTCTCCCCCTCGATTCTTAATTTGATGAATTTCCTGACCGTTTTGTGATTTCTTTCTGGGTTTCTTAATTCGTAGATTTCTATTTCAAAGCCCTATTAAAAGATCGTTTTTTTATGTAGATTTGTTTCAGCATTTGGGATTTTTTTATAGGTTTTGAGCTGTGTTTTTTTCTGTTGAGATCGATGTTTGTTTTACTTAATGGTTTTTGGTTTTGTCAAATTGCAGATTTACTTTGCTAATCCGCGACTAAAGATTGTTTTTTGATGATAAATTGATGCACATTGTGTCATTCCATGGAGTTTTGGTTTCAGGCTTAGGAAAAAAAAATCATCATTTTGGGGTTAAATTAGTCTTAGGTTTTGTTTTTCTTGGCATTTGCTCTTGGATTGGGTCTGCCTTTGGTATCTTGAGAGTGATTCTATTTTGTACAATATTTTTCTTGGTTTATTTGTTCCGAGTTTTCTTCTTCAAGATAATCTTTTGGTGACGATAGATTGAGATTGTGGCGTTTCTTTGGTGTTTATATTGGATTTGAGCTGAGGATTGTTGGTTTCTGAAAGCGATGTTCAATTGTCTGCTTCTTTGTTGAATTCTTCGGTTGTTCTTTGATTTTTGTTCTTTGGATTTGAGGTGGCATTTATAGGTTTTCTGAAAGCGATGCTGATATTTGTACTAGTTTCCTGCTTCTAGGTGTTGCTTTTTGATTCGTGGATTTTATCGTTGAATTTGCTAATCACCAAGAGATAATGTTGTTTATTTTTTGATTGATTCATCATTTGATTGAATATTCTTATGCCATTGGAGTTGGTTTTAGTTGAAAGAGATGTCTGTTCTTATTGGCAATAAATTTCTTAACATTGCGTGATTTCTTGTGTTCACTTATCTAATTCAACCTAGTGATTTGGATCTTGAGGAATTGAACATGTCTTCCAATCGAGAGAGCCGAGTTAGGGTCTCTTCAATATGTTTTAGGTTATCAAGAATTGTGGTATAATTGCTTAACTATGTTAATCTCTTGGTGTTTCAGGTATCGTCGGGTTTGCTGCATTTTATTCCTTGTTCAAAGTGTTTAACAATGGACAGTTCACACAGGAAAGGAGGAAGCATCCCTAGTTCTCCATCTCAAACCCCAAGATCAAGCGAGAAGTTTGTAAGAGATCGAGCCCATGAAGGTAATGGGTGTTCAAGCAACAAGCATGATAAGGATAAGGGTGTCAATGTCCAGGTCATTCTCCGATGCAGGTAAAAATGTGGACTCTTTGTGATTTTGAGTATTTCTTTTAATAGATTTAAAGTTCTGATACAAAAGTTGATCTTCCGGTTCAGGCCATTAAGTGATGATGAGATTAGAGTGCGCACTCCAGTGGTTATATCTTGCAATGAGCACCGGAGAGAAGTTTCTGCAGTGCAAAATATTGCAAACAAGCAGATTGATAGGACCTTTGCTTTTGACAAGGTTTCATCATTATTCTCTCAATTGTATATGCATGCACTTTGAGTTTGATATTGACTCTAAAATAACTAGTTGGGGTTATTTTCTAGGTTTTTGGACCAAATTCGCAGCAAAAGGATTTGTTTAATCAAGCTATCTCTCCTATTGTGAATGAAGTTCTTGAAGGATACAACTGTACCATCTTCGCCTATGGCCAAACTGGTACTGGAAAAACTTACACAATGGAAGGAGGAGGGAGGAAGGCTAAGGTCATTTTTCATCTTTTTGGTTTCCCTAATAGAGCTGAATTGTGAATATATGATTTATGTAGCCAACAGTAGAGTAGTTTGGTAAAGAGCTATTTTGTCAGTGTGTTTTATTAGTAATACTTTGCTTTTGATAATTTTGATTGGAGTTTTGTTTCCTGTTATTAAGTCATTAATGAATTGGTTTTTCAGAATGGAGAATTTCCAAGTGATGCTGGTGTCATCCCGAGATCTGTTAGGCAAATCTTTGAAATACTGGAGGCACAACTTGCAGAGTACAGCATGAAAGTCACATTTCTCGAGCTATACAATGAGGAGATTACTGATCTGTTGGCTCCAGATGAGTCAAAATTTACGTTCCCAGATGATAAGTCTAAGAAGCCAATAGCTCTCATGGAAGATGGTAAAGGAGCTGTCTTTGTGAGAGGTCTAGAAGAGGAGATTGTGTCCTCTGCAAGCGAAATATACAAAATTCTAGATAAAGGGTCTGCAAAAAGGCGTACTGCCGAGACTCTACTTAACAAGCAAAGCAGCAGATCACATTCTATATTCTCTATTACCATTCACATAAAGGAGTGCACTCCTGAGGGAGAAGAAATGATCAAATGCGGCAAGCTTAATCTAGTGGACCTTGCTGGTTCTGAGAATATTTCACGATCTGGTGCTAAAGATGTGGGTAAATTTGTCTACTCAAGTATTATACAGCACTTGCTTGATTTTTCTCTCTCTTTAATTAAGCATGGTTTTTAATTGCAGGGTAGAGCAAGGGAAGCTGGAGAGATTAATAAAAGTTTGCTTACACTTGGTCGAGTCATTAATGCTCTCGTTGAACATTCGGGTCACATCCCATACAGGTAGTTTGCATAATTGTTTTGTATTAATGCATTTGCTTCTATTCTGCGTGATCTTGCATTTGGGCTGAGATTTTGTGTTGTCTTCTATCTCAGAGATAGCAAATTAACAAGATTACTAAGGGACTCATTAGGAGGGAAAACCAAGACCTGTATTATTGCCACCGTATCACCTTCAATCCATTGTTTGGAAGAGACATTAAGCACCTTAGATTACGCCCATCGTGCAAAAAATATCAAGAATAAACCAGAGGTTACTAACCATATCACTTGGTTCCATGCTCAATTTTGTGAACTCTTCTTTGCTGGTAAATTTATCAACTTTTTACTGCTATCCAGATTAACCAGAAGATGATGAAAACAGCAGTGATGAAGGATTTATACTCTGAAATTGATCGCCTTAAACAAGGTCTGAAGCCTTTTTCCTTTCATGTCAGTGATTCCATTTCCTCGTTTCGTTATTTTTGAATCTAGACTAGGTTGAATTCTGGTCTCCTGTTTATTTACTGTTTATTTCCTCGTTTCGTTATGTTTTCTTTTAATATTAAACTTGGAAATTAGGTTTTCATATGTAATGGCTTGTGAGGTCACTCCCACTTCTAAACTAATCAGCAGCATACTTGAATTTGTGCACTTCAATTTCAATTGCTAAGGTTGTGTGCTTGACGTTGGGACTATGCTTGAAAATTTTTCTTCTATTCAAACTCCAGAAAGATTAATGCTTTTATAATCAAGTTGCTAAGTTTGTCTATTTGATGCGAGGAATTTGCTTCGAGAATTTCTTCTATTTCAACTCAAGATAAATTAAAAACACTGAAATTCTTTTTCAGAAATATTTGTCTAACTTCCACCATTTATGGTTCTTTTATCCAAAGAAAATCTTTTGATTGTATCATTTACATATGACACAGAGGTCTATGCTGCAAGAGAGAAGAATGGAATATATATTCCAAGGGATCGTTACCTACAAGAAGAAGCAGAAAAAAAGGTTCTATTAGATTTAATTGCTTCTTCCATATATTTCACTTTATGCATCTTCTAAAATGGTAAATTATATCCGTGACCATTCAGGCTATGACGGAAAAAATTGAACGTTTGGAACAAGATTTGGAGTCTAAGGATAAAGTATTTCACATGCCTTAATAATTTTATCGCGATGCTAAATCTAAAATCTCTTTATGCTTTTTGACTATAGTTTTATCTTACGCAGCAATTAGTTGGGCTTCAAGAGCTTTACAATTCTCAACAACTATTGAGTGCAGAATTGAGTGAAAAGCTTGAAAAGACCCAGGTGAGTTACCTTCCCCTAGTCAACAAGATACTGTTGCGAGATTTTAAATTTATCTCTGTTATTCCTTTCGCTGCAGAAAACTCTGGAGGACACTGAACATGCATTGCTTGACCTAGAGGAAAGATACAGACAGGCAAACAACACAATAAAAGAAAAAGAATATTTGATATCTAACCTCCTGAAATCAGGTGATTGAAATTACCATAAATTTTCCAATTTTGTGCATCTCTTTTCTGCCTTTCGGTTGCTCATCAAGAAATGTCTGCTTTTTTATCCTGCAGAGAAAGCACTCGTTGAACGTGCCCATGAGCTTCGATCTGAGCTAGAGAATTCAGCAGCAGATGTTTCTGGCTTGTTTTCTAAAATTGGTTAGTGGATTTGTATACTGATTGTTTGCTATATTCTGTATCTTTTGTTTATTATCAGTAATGATCTCACCTTTTGTTGGCTGCAGAACGTAAAGACAAAATTGAGGATGGAAACAGAATCCTTGTCCAGAAATTTCGGTCTCAGTTAACTGAGCAACTGGATGTCTTGCACAAGACTGTCTCATCTTCTGTGATGCAGCAGGAGAACCAGCTGAAAGAAATGGAAGAAGATATGCAAACATTCGTCTCAACAAAGGCTGAGGTACTTCTATTATTAATGTTGTTCCTTTAATTAAAGGGTTAATTGCGGATACACCTCCTGTACTATAGCTAAATTATGGGTAGACTCCCTCCACTTCAATTCTTGCAGATAGACTGCCTGGATCCTCAACTCTGTTAGGTTCATGTTAAGATTGGGCTTCATACATATAAGCTCCATAAACTTATTTACTTACTATAAACTTGCATAATGAGCCTTACATATAAATAATTTAAATGGGAAAACTTACAGAGTTGAAAATATAGGGGGTCTATCTGCAACAATAGATGCACATGGGGTCTATCCACAATTTGGCAATAAGATAGGATGTCTATCCACAATTATCCCTTAATTAAAAAATTTGGTTGTTCAAAAATGAGATTCAGAACCTTGCCTATTTTTTCTGCGTTTTCCCTTCTGTCCATAGGCTACAGAGGAGCTTCGAATGTGGGTTGAGAAATTGAAAGAGATGTATGGCTCTGGGATTAGAGGATTGGATAGTTTAGCTGGTGAATTGGATAAGAATTCTCAATCAACCTTTGGAAAATTGAATGCACAAGTACAGATGCATTCTTCTTCTCTCGAGGATGTAAGTTTTTGGCCTCCCTTCCTCGGTTATGTTTTTGAACATTGTCTTCTAAATCATTTTCCCATAGCAGTGTTTTAGAAAAATTGCTTTGGAGGCTGACCAGTTGCTTAGTGACCTACAAAAAAGTCTCACTAACCAAGGGGATAAACTAACTGCTTTTGCCCAGCAGCAACGGGAGGTTAGCACTTATCTAAAGACCCGGAAACATTTTATTTTTGGGTTTGGCAATTTCTTTTCACTAATTTGATTCTTTCCGTCTTATGAATAGGGACACCTGAGAGCGGTGGAAACGAGCCGATCTATTTCCAAAGTTACAACTAATTTCTTCCACTATGTGGATGTTCATGCATCTAAATTAAACAAGATTTTTGAAGAAACACAAACTGTACAAGATCAGCAACTCCATGATCTCGAGAAGAAGTTTGAGGTAACTTTACTATGCTAAATGTTAAATTGTTTAGTTTGCTCTAATAAAATAATATCTAATTCGATATATGTTTTTAGGAATGTGCTGCTAATGAGGAAAGACAGCTACTGGAAAAGGTTGCGGAGATGTTAGCAAGTTCAAGTGATAGAAAGAAAAAGCTGGTATGCACCCCTCTCCATACTGTCAGATACATAAACTATTTATATCCCTTTCTGTAGATAGTCACTAAATGTTGAGAGTCAAATTTTAAAGATACACACGAAATTTATCAGTGGTTAAAGTTCACTATTTTGCATAGATAATGTGAAGTTAAGGAAACAAAAACTAAGTTGAGGGGCAGTCAATTCTTTAAAGGCAGATACACTACTTTAAGATGATTAATTTAATTATATGATTTCACATGTTGTGCGCTAGCTAACAATGTAATTAAAAGCGATCAATGCATGTCTATATGCACACGATTTTCATTTTACACTTCTTTTAGTGTAGAGCATGAGAAAAGGTTTGATGTCAAATTAAATAAAATAGCATTCAAATATGTTTTAAAGTTAGGTACTAAATCAGACTTATTCATTTAGGTTCAAGCAGCAGTTGATGGCCTCAGAACAAGTGCAGCTGATAGAACCAGTAATCTGAAAAAAGAAATGTCAACTGCTCATGATTTTACCTCCGCTGTAAAAGAACATTGGACATCTTACATGGAAGACACCGAAAGCCATTATCTTGAAGATACTGCTGCAGTAGAACGCGGAAAATGTTCCTTGGAAGATGGTCTTCAAGATTGGTACAATCTCAACACTTATTTTGTCATTTCCTTTTCTTCAAGGGTTTTTCTTCAAGGTTTTTTTTTTCAATATTAGTCCCTTAAATATTTCATATTGTGAAATTGGTCCCTCAAGTCATTAAACTTGCGATTAAGTCCCCTACTTCTTAAGTTATTTTGGAACTAGTCCCTCCAATCAAAAAGTAGAAGTACCAACTAGAAGGATTAATTCGAAATGACTTATGAGAATTGGGGGAACCTAATAGCAATTTAAATGATTTGAGGGGCTAATTTCAAAATATGAAAGATTTAAGGCACTAATATCGAAAACAATATGTTTTTCGTATGATGCTAATCACATATTTTTAACAATTAACATGTAGCATGACAAAGGCAAAAATGGACTCACAACAATGGAGAAATGCTCAAGATTCACTACTGAGCCTTGGAGAAAGTAATGTTGCATCAGTAGATTCGATTGTCAGGTAATTTGAGCTAATTATGTGTAACTCATTATTGTTATTTACATACAAACTTGACCTTTTTTGGTTCAAGCAGGAGCGGAATGGAAGCTAATAAGCTACTGCGTGATAAGTTATCTTCTGCTGTCTCAACTTCTCTTGAAGACGTTGATGTTGCAAGCAAGAGTCTCCTTTCCTCCATTGACAGTAAGTTGGCGGTAGTATGTATAGCTGATTTTTGTTTAACAGATGTGATTACTAGTTTATATTGTTTCACTGTTGTACTATTTATGCAGGTTCCTTGAAACTTGATCATGATGCATGCACAAACATCGATTCCATGATCATTCCCTCTCGTGAAGAGCTGAGAGATTTGCAGAGTGGCCATTACCACAAGACTGTTGAGATCACAGAAAATGCGGGCAAGTCTTTGGAAGAAGATTATGTGGTAAGTATATATGAAAAGATAACGCTTTCAGTGCCATTGATTATTAATATTGATTATAATGATTATATAACTATCCATTTCACGGGGTGGGGGGAAGCCTGTTGGGGGCACTTTAGAGAAAATCGTATAGGGAGCTGGGTGATGAAAATGTTGGGCATAGTATGAATCTTAATGCACATATTACTATCGGCTATTAGTCCAATACTGAGTCGAATACTATCGGCTATTAGTCCAATACTGAGTCAAACACTGTTAATCAGCACAGTTAATATCGTCCATATCGGTGCAAGCTGATAGTGATGTATGCATTAAGATTCGTACTAGGTCAGGTTTTTTTATCCCCTATGCCTTGCATAGTCAAGATTCTCCCTACATCATCATATTCATATATTCATTATTTTTTTTCCAGGTAGATGAACCATCTTGTTCAACACCAAAAAGGAGACCAATCAATCTTCCTAGTGTGTCATCAATTGAGGAGTTGAGAACACCAGCTTTCGAAGATTTACTGAAGTCTTTCTGGGAGGCAAAATCTGCCTCTAAGCAGCAAGTAAATGGGGACATGAAGCATTTTTCTGAGTCACACGAGTCTCAGTCACAGACCTCTAGAGAAGCAAGAGTTCCTCTGACAGCCTTAAATTGATCGCAATGAATTTGGAATTCAAATTTGAGATTGGTAGAGCAATGTACAGAATAGGTAGAGGGTATAGTTGTTAAGTGTGTTTAGCAAAATTGTTTGTCATTCATTATCTTCTTGTTCCTTTTTGCAGGCTTAATTGCTTGTGATGGTAAGGAGACTAAAGAATCATGATATACATGTGTGATATATTTGTTTCTCAAGTGTGTATCTATTACTTAGAGATGAAGTTCAGGATACATTTATACTCTTTGGAGATCATACCGTTGAGTTGTAGATGAGATTTCTGAGTGTTATGTGTGTTATACCGATACGTCTTCATTCGTGTTGCTGTTTTCTTTTGAGTTTAAATTACTTGTGACAGTATCCTCAGGTACATCAGAAATAAATGAAAGCTTAAAATCCCTGGAATAGTCCAAATTCTACTTGTTTTCTGCTACTCCTTGCAGCATTCCGCATTCTTAACTTTGGAACTTTATAGTTGGCGATCTCTACACCCTGGTATCATGTATGTTCTGCATATATGTGAGTCTTCTTCTTTTTGATTATTTATTCTTTTTCTTCAGATGTTTTTTCCATTCAGAGTTGAACGATATTTATTCCATTCAATCATGAACCGTGTACTATGCTTTCGTCTTTTTGAGTAATATCTTGACATACGTGCATGAGAGTAATTTTGTGGATTCTATCTAATTGCTGGCCGAGAGAAGAAGAATCTACACTAAATGTCCACCGCAATTCATCTTCACTTGAACTTATTTTTAGGTGAACACCCACTTTGTCAGGCCTAAAAAATGCCTCTGCTTTCCCTTCAGGGGATGCCTTCGAAGCTCAGATTTTGATTTTCTCGTTCTAATTATGGATAGTTTTGATTTGATGATGATTTTCAGAATTTTCTAATTATGCATATTTTAGATTTGATGAGGATTCTTACGTGAAGATACGATTAATGGTAATCATGCTTAAGGGGTAAAGTTAATGCACTGCTTAGTAGTTACCTGTTGACATTCTTAATAATTAGGTTGTTTTTTAAGGACCATGGAGATAATTGCGGAAACTGAATAACATATGCTATTGGCATGCAATTCCTAATTTCACAAAACCAAAAGCACCAACAAAAAATTTCACATAGTTTCAAGAGACATCTCTATATGCTAGTCAAATAAAGAAAAACGAGAGAGAACTGCTTTATTAGCCAGAAATTGCACCCCAACATAAGGATCTATTAGTTTGACAAACCCAATACCTCATTAATCATTGGGCTCTAAACAGAATTTTTAAGTTTACTTTATAAATCCTCCTGCCTATATACGTCTCTCTAATTCTTGAGAACATTGGCTGGCGTTTACAGTTGCTTGGCTTTAGGGGGTGGTAAACGAATCGAATCGAATCAAATACTAAGGTGTTTGCATTTGCATTTGTTTAAAATTATCGAATTCGAATGCGGACTCTAATATTTATATTTGGAGTTTTTTTTTTGAATTCGAACTCAAATACTTGGTATTAGATAATATTCGTGAATATTCACGAATACTTATCGAATTTCAAAGTATATTTATTCCATTAAAGAATTTGATTTTCAAATAGTATTTAAATTCATAAATAAAAGTATTCCTTTATAATATAATATATGATGTATATATATTTAAACCAAAATTTTTATTAGAAATTAAGATTATTTAAGATTATTCATAAATAAAAGTATTCCTTTATAATAGTATTTAAGATTATTTAAGTCTCAAAATTAGTACATAAAACGTATGTAGAAATGGTAAGTGGGTTAAAAATATGACATCAAAATTAGTACATAAAACTTAAGTAGAAATAATAAGTGATGAAATTGTAAACAAACATTTAATAGACAAAGGAATCGAATATGCATCTGGTTAAATTCTATTCCTTTGTAAACTCGAATACTAAAAAAATATTTGTTAAGTGGTAAATGAGCTATCGAATCGATAATGAACCATCGAATCGAATATGACCGAATAGTTACTCAAACAGTTATCAAACTATTTGTTAACTATTACCTTGGCTTCAATCGATACTTGTGGATTGCTAGCTCCTCCTTCCCCCTAACCTTTAATTGACAACCCACGCAATGGTCAGATTTTGCAGTTGCTTGGTTTCATCCAGCACTTGTGCATCACCACCTCCTCCTCCGTTCTAAAGCTTTTTCAATCCTACAACTAAATAGATTTCATTGCTTGATCATCGTCTAAACAAGGACTATGTTCAGACGATACGATGTCTTTTCTTTCCTCTTGTTACATTATAGCATGCCTTTTCTTTCCTCTTGTTGCGCTCCTCCCGCTCAATCAATCACAGATTTGTTTGTGCGTCGCCGAAAAAGCACTTTACTAGCTTTGAACAAGCAAGCAAGTGTCGTCGTCGTGATTATCCAGCTGCGGCATTGGGCATACCTGCAATTACGGCGCGTGTGTCCGCGAGGAGATTGTGTTCCGGGGATTCCTGATGCCCTCGCTGTTGAGGGGCATGCCCCTCCACAGGTCTATCATGTTTCCATTACGGCGTTCCTTGCCACGACGCGATATATGGAGCTGTTTTCGCGAGGTCCAGGAACTCGCTGCCTCCAATGCTCCTCCGTATGTCGGGGAACATAACCAGTTGTGTTGAGCACACCCGATGCTTCGAAGGTACCCTGTTTTGCGCTCATCCAGAAATTACCAATACAACATCATATGCGGGAAAATTTTGATCACTTGCTCATACAGAAATTACTAATATGCTGGAAATTTTTTATCACTGGCGCAAGTTAGTATTTAGATAGTTTGATTTGTTTTGCGGAATTGTACCGGTAGTAAAGTCGGTATGCATGGACGCTATGGAGCTAACAACTTCAACTCAGCCGTATTGGTTCACCGCTATATTTTAGAATTTTAATGCAATCTACAGAGATTATTACGCAGAATTTCACTAGGGATAATGTTGACTTAAATTGATGATAATTTCTCATTTTAAAATTTTGCGGCATAAACTGTATGCATGTTTTGCACGACGCATTGATCGTGAAATTGATGTGCTTGGGCATATGTAGACAATAACTTCAATTCAGCTGCATTGGTCAAAGTATATGAATGCATTCAATAAAAATTAGCTGTGATCAATTTTACTACAGACGAATATAGCTTAGAAAAATCATAATGAACAAATACCATATTAGTTCCAAGTTTAGACTGCAGATCAAATAAATAAACAAATAAAGCTTCAAATCCCTGCAATATTAAAAAAATTCTGCCTGTGTTCTGCTACCGAATGCAACCTGCGAGCCCTATTCGTAATTTCGGGAATTTACAGTTCAAGATCTCTACATTCATCATTCATGGATCCTTTGTTCTGCATATAGTTGAATCTTTCTTTTATTACTTTTTTTTTGAATTGTAACCATTCTTTTTCTTCAGATTTTCGTTCTTATGCTAGACAAAAAGTCGATGTCAAGTGGTAAACAGGCAAGAGTAATCCTTCTAGCTCATGTTGTTACAGTCTTCAAATTCTGTTACATCCATAATTTGAGGAGAATAAGAGCATCTCCAACAGCTTCTCCAAAATTTTCTCCAAAATGGAAAAACAAAAGTCATATTCTCCAAATTATTTTTGCTCCAACTCCAACAACTTCCCCATTTTGAAAAATTGCATTTATTACAATAATAAAGCTCTCCCCAAAAATTTGGAGAATGCTGCAGATTTGGGGAAGGCTCCCTATTTTTTCTCATTCTTTCCTATTTTGGGGAATGAGATGGGGAATCTGTTGGACAAAAAAAAACTCTATATTCCCCAAAATTGAGTATTTCAAGAAGATGGGGAAGCTGTTGGAGATGCTCTAAGTAGCATTTTTAGAGTGGTAAACAAGTAAATTAATGCGGACAATAAATACGTAGAAGTCAGAAGAACAAGAAACTTTATTTGTTCATAGTCATGTGGTCATAAAAGATAGTAAATACCTATCATCAAGTAGCTGCAATATCTTACCATGAAACAACAAGCTCAAAATATCAAGAACTCTATGTCCAAGTCTATCTCAAGTAAAACAGTGAGGATATTGTTTGAATCTTCGAAAATGATCCTTCCTCTCTCGATGTTAAAAACGTCCATGTGCCGCTTAAGGGTTTGTCTACGCGCCTGGGCGCTAGGCGCAAGGTCTGGCACCTAGAAACGCCTAGCGCTATCTAATACATTGATCATTTGAAAAATAAAATACAAGTGAAAAAAAACCTAAATATGCACACATCCACTGTCATCTTCATCCTATTAGAGCATTAAACCTAAGAAACAATTAGAAATTTGAACAGCTCGCTTAATTATTTGACGCGCCAATGCAAAGAACTCTTCATCAAAATCCATCCAGACTATTAACACCACCAAAACTTAATGAAGTGTGAATCCATATCATGAAAGTCTTATCCAATATAGACTTCATAATGCAACTCCTAAAGTGATTTGCTATAGATGTTCCAATAATCTACCCTAGCTCATGCATGTTATCATCAAGTAGTTGCAACATCTAACCATGCAAAAGCAATAACTAAATAAACGATACAACCGTACAAAATCGAAACATGTTCAAGATATCAAGAACAATCAACAATCATACAGATATCATTTATTCAATTTCAAACAAAATCCAAATGGACATCCTTGCCCACATCGAAGAAATGCCAACTAATATCATGAAAAGCTCGAAAAAACCCGTTATCATCATCACAATCCTCACCTCCCTCCAATCTCACCTCCCTAACGAACTTCCTCGACCCAATAACCCGCTTACCCGCCTCCTCCACCTTCACAGACCAACTTGCCCCCTTTTTCTCCTCAACATACCTCTCGTACTCCCCAAAACTATTTAGTATGATTTGTTTTGCAGAATTGTACCATTAATCAAGTTGGTATGCATGGGCGCTATGGAGTTATCAACTCAGCCATATTGGTTCACCACTATATTTTAGAATTTTAATGCAATCTACGGAGATTAGTACGCAGAATATTATTATAGATAATGTTGACTTAAAGATTGATGATAATTTTTCATTTTAAATTTTTGCGGCATAGACTGTATGCATGTTTTGCAAGACGCGTTTGTCATCAAATTGATGCACTTGAGCATGTAGACAATTAACTTCAATTCCGCTACACCGGTCCTATTTTGTATATTTTGGTATATGAATGCATTCAATAAAAACTAGTTTTTTGTGATCAATTTTACTACAGACCAATATAGCTTAGAAAGATCATAATGAGCAAATAGGATATCAGTTCCAAGTTTAGACTGTAGATCAAATAAATAAACAAATAAAGCTTCAGATCCCTGCAACACTTAAATCTGCCTGTTTTCTGCTATTGATTGCGACCTGCCAACCCTATTCTTAAGTTCGGATACAGTTCATGATCTCCACATCCATGGATCCTTTGCTCTGCATGTAGTCGAATATTTCTTTTATTCTTTTTTTTTTGAATCATAACCATTCTTTTTCTTCAGATTTTCTTCATTTCTTATGATAGACACAAAGTCGATGTCAAGTAATAAGCAGGCACGAGTACTCCTAGCACCGATTGTTATCTTCAAATTCTGTTATATACATAATTTGAGGAGAATAACCAGTAGCCCTTTAGAGTGATAGCAAGTAAAATTAATGCGGAGAATACACAATCTAGAAGTCAGAAGAACTAGATAAGTGTATTTGTTCATAGTCATATAATCATAAAAAATCGTAAATACCTGAGTAGTTCTAAGCTCTCATGTAATTTGAATTTTAAATATGACTTGGCTTTTAGCTGATAAAGTAAATAACAGATGACTAAAATTTTCTCTGGAATTTACACTACACCATTGATTCACTGCTCTTTTCATTATCATTTAGTATCCTGCAGTTAGGCTTTGATCAATAAGAGCACCTCAATTTCCTTCAAAAACTATACTGAGGTCAACATAATGTTTTAGCGTTAACTCTACAAGAATACTTGTTCACGTTATCAATACTTCTGACATTTTATTAACGCTTGTCACAGTACACACCTCAAGACATCACTTGACTGGGAATATATTTGACAATGTATGATGATGTGTTGACTTGAATTTTTTTTTTAATTTTTTAATTTTGTTGAACATATTTGAAGTATGAAAATCATATAGGCTAAATCAGTATTTGTGACTAGTTATAAATACAAAAGCTAATAACTAGAAAAGCAAAATACAAGTCGAAAAAAAATACTAAACATGCTGACATGCATTGTCATCTTCATTGTATCAGAGCATTAAACCTAACAAACAATTAGAAATTTGAACAACTCACCCACACATGCAAAGAACTCTTCATCAAAATCCATCCAGACTACTAACACCACCAAAACCTAATGAAGTGCGAATCCATATCATGAAAGCCTTATCCAATATAGACTTCATAATGCAACTCCTAAAGTGATTTGCTATAGATGTTCCAATAATCTACCCTAGCTCATGCATGTTCTCATCAAGTAGTTGCAACATCTAACCATGCAAAAGCAATAACTAAATAAACAATACAACCGTACAAAATCGAAACATGTTCAAGATATCAAGAACAATCAACAATCATACAGATGTCATTTATTCAATTTCAAACAAAATCCAAATGGACATCCTGGCCCACATCGAAGAAATGCCAACTAATATCATGAAAAGCTCGAAAAAACCCGTTATCATCATCACAATCCTCACCTCCCTCCAATCTCACCTCCCTAACGAACCTCCTCGAGCCGATAACCCGCTTACCCGCCTCCTCCACCTTCACAGACCCACTCGCCCCCTTTTTCTCCTCCACATACCTCTCGTACTCCCCAAAACTATTTCCCAGAATAACCATTTTGTTCAAATTCTCACATCCCCAATTTGCATCCAACAAATTATCATACAATTGGACCTCACAATGTGGCATAAAGAACAAAGTCGGAACTTTTACCTCTCTTCGCCCTCGCTCATCCACACCCATTACAGCGACTCCCAATTGTTCGATAACCGCTTGCTCGGCTGTTGAAATTATCGGGTCGAACACTTCAATTGATGAAATTTGGGGCTTGAGCCGATCGAGGATGAGAAGGGCGAGCGAAAGCTGGAGTCTTGGGGTCTCGTACGAGTCAATGCTGCCGATTCCGTAGATTATGAGATCGAGCGAAAGCTGGAGTCTTGGGGTCTCGTACGAGTCAATGCTGCCGATTCCGTAGATTATGAGATCGAATTGGGGATTGAAGGAGAGGAGTTTGTTGAGCCCGGACTGGATTTGGGGGCATTGGAGCTGGGAGAGGAATTGGTTGTAGAATTGGGATGATTTGAGCTTGCTTAGGGAGGATTGGAGCTTGGATAGGAGTTTCGATTGGAGAATGGGGTTGGGTTGGGAATCGAGAGGGGTCCATGGGATTGGGGATTTTAGGGTTAGGGTTTCGAATTGGTCGGGATTGGGATTGGATTTGGATTTTGGTCGCTTGCGGTTGCGGCGATGGGAGACGACGGTCCAGGATTGGTTAGGGTTATGGGTTAGGGTTTTAGGAGGAGTTGACATCGAAACGATTGGGCAGAAGCTCTGATGATGACGATGATGGAGTTACGTAAGTCGATATGGGCTAGCGTCTGAAGGGCCCCAATATTTTTTTGGGCTTGGGCTTTTACCGTGTTTACCTCCTAACAGGTTAAATTTATATATAACGGTTTTAAATTTTTTAAATAATATTCATATTTTACCTATGCCATACCCATGTCATATAAATACTTCATGACCATGTATGCGTCCATATCCAGATTTTCCATATTAATATCCTACAGCCATGCATTTCACATCCATATTTTCCACCATGTTAAATTACTTTGGTAGTATATGTTAAAGTTAATATGTGAAAACGGCGAAAGAATTGAGAAAAACGTGAAGAATAAGCAAGACATGCTCCATATATTTGAGTGATTTTGTGAGTTGTAACCTGTTGTATTTCTCTTCCATATAGCGAAATCTTCCCATCCTCTCCCCGTGGACGTAGGCAATTGCCGAACCACGTAAATCTCTGTGTTTGGTTTGATTTGTGTCGCATTTTGGTGCATTGTACGTACTCGTGTTTGGTTTTCTTCTCGCATCGCTCACCGACTCGTTTGGTTGTCAAGCACGCTTTCGCACGACGCGTAACATAATATTCTCTGCACCAAAAGTCTAAAGTTGCGATATGGATCGATGGTTATAATTTATGCTCCAGCCGCGCCTGACGCATCCAAGAGGTTAACTCTTAATTTTAACCTTTGTAGAAAGGTTATTTGAACTCTTACGTCTTGCAAATTAAGATAAGTAATCATTTTACTGCATCTGTAATCTTTTGTGTTTGAGAGTTTACCGGACAGATTAGCTCCACTTACTCCATTGCCAAACAAATCCAAATGGTTTAGAATATGAAACCTGACATAATTTTATATTTAATGTATCCAGCTAGTGAGGGATACATTCAGAACACATGCTAATTACGAGTCCACCTACAAAATGCAATAGAGATTCCAACAGTATGATCATCCCCAGCGAGGGATAATAATAATAATATAAGAAATAAAAAACCCTTACCCCCCTGTTTAATCTGTTCACAACTACTGTTCCCCATTAATTAAACTCTGTAACCCTCCACTTTGTTTCCCCCGACCGCATTAGTTAATTCAATAGCACATGCAAACAATGTATGCATGTCCTCAAAAAAGTTGACTGGCAACAAAGATGATGACGTCGCCGTTTCACTGTTCCAGTGTCCCCTTAATTTGGTTGCATCTTCCGATGTCCCCTTTGGTTGCATCTATCTTCTCATAAAAACTCTCTGCGGAGTTGATGCAACGAACTCATGAGGCCCGCTGAGGTCAAAATGGAATTATGTGGGGGCCCACCGCGAAAGGGACGATGCTCGTGCAATAGTCAACACTCAACAGTTGGCTCACGTGGTGGGATTGGGGACTAGCTAGGTTGGCTCATTATTGGTCGGCTCCCCTCTAAGATTGCGTTGGATGCTGCATCGATCGTACGCGTACACGTTAATATAAATTAATTTTCCTTCTTAAATCTCAAAATTGAAATTTCAGAAGCTGCAAAAATATGAGTTCTAAGCTTGAAACCAACTTCGTGATTTAATTTGTTTACAGATGGCTAAATGATTTTAGTATAAGTTAGAAAGTCAATTCTGAATCTAATAGATTTGAGTTTACTTTTTTCCAATATCTACAACTTTAAAGTTTTGATGTAATGATATGAAACTCTGGCCGGATTTAAGAAAATACCGCGTTGAGAGTCCTGGACCAGATCGCTCAAGCTACCACGCCGATTGACTCAAAACAATTTTAAAAGTCCGGCCTTCGACGCTCCCTAAACTATACTATACATTTCTAGGGGGAAATTAAGAATGCTAGCTAAAGAAGTTCATTCGTACGTACGACTCAAGACCTAATAAACCAAAAGAGTTTAATTCTAAACATTGACCTCGACAATAGATACGTACTTAGCCTAGTTTTACATGCTCTACGTCTTGTCACTGACCCTAACATGGATTTTCTTTGCATTTTTCGTGTGTAGGGGGGAGATGTTAATTTTTAGGGTTTCTTGAGGAACGTGACAGTGTGGGGCCGGGAGCAAACTTAACCCTACGTCCGGTACCTACAGCAGCTATTCAATACGCTGAGGTGCTTTCCCACTGCGTTGCATGCTTCTTGTCTCAATAACTGCGGTTTCAATCTTGATCCCCTCTCTCTCTCTCTCTCTAAAAAGTTTTTCACTTGGAATGTTATCGGTAAAGACAAAGTGATGGCAGATGCCCTGCATACTTGCATCGCGAGAGAGGAGACAAGATAAGGGTTTTGAGAGAGAGTGAGAGATGGCGTGTGAGAGGAGAGAATGAGATGATTTATGAGATGATGAGAGACAAGTCACATCACTTTGGGATTCTACCGTACTTACTGATTTTATTATTTTAACCCCATCTCCTCTCTCTCTCTCTCTCTCTCTCTCTCTAGATCTCTTCACTTGCATGCAAGGGCCGTGGGTGTTTGAGTGACGTGGGAAGGCAATTTTTGGAGTTTTGTAGATTTTGTTTTTTTGCCAAAAAAGAAGAATTTTCGGAGCATATGTGATAATGTGATGTTCACGTATTTACTTCTTTATTATTAAAGGAGAACAACAAAAAATAAAATAAAATGAACAGTAATCTAAAGTTGTGAACCATGAAAAAACTAAAATGAATAACCAATCATTTCACACAACCCACTTCTCTCACTAAAAATAACCAACCTCTCTAACTCCCACGTCTCCGTTCTCCTGCTTTTCCTTCTAAAAAGAATCCCACGACTTTAAAAAGAAATTTGCAAACCCATTTTCATTTTTTTTAAAAACCGCTTCTGTCTCCCTCGATATAAACGGCTCCAAGATCCCTTCCTCCAATTCCACCTCTCCCCTCCTTCGCCGTGATCGGATGTATCGCGAGTCGTCAGAGGTGACCTACGTCAGCACTGACGGAACCAAGCTCTCTAGCGCCGTCGATTTCGAGGTAGGAGACAATAAAGTCCCATTCAAGCTCTCATGACATGTCGATTTTGATGTCGATGCCAGAGCGATGCGTCGGTGGGCGGCCGCGGGTGGCGGGAAAGCAGATGGGGAGGAGGAGAACGAGAGTTTCTTCGCGATGCGTCGGTGGGCGGCCGCGGGTGGCGGGAAAGCAGATGGGGAGGAGGAGAACGAGAGTTTCTTCGTTGAAATCGATTGATGAGATCACGAGATCTGAGGAGGAGAACGAGAGTTTCCAAATAAATTAATGTTTGATTTTCTGACCTTTTCCCTTTTTTATTTGTTTTTTGATTTGTTGGTTGATTTTGAAGAAAGCGGTAAAGGGTTTGATTTTGGAAGTTGCATTCATGAAATCGTACGTCAATTTGGTGGATTGGTGAATGGATACTCTTAGATTGCAATAGATTTGTGAAATTTGTTATATTTTAGTTTTCTTTTATTTCTATGTTGTGTCCATCATAGGACCTCAAAGTAGCGGTAAGATTCACTCCAAAAACTGCTTTGTGGAAGTATCGATTGCTCTTTATTGGATGATTAGGGTTAGGGTTAGGGTAAAGATCCTTCATTTAAAGAAATTTGATTTTTATTGTGGCGTTCGGGGGTAAAAATGAGATGCATGCATCGTTACCTTTGTTTATGCTTTTGGGTTTAAGATGAATGATTTGTTAATGTGTCAGTTAAATTTTGGTGAATACATGATCTGAGTGCTTTTAAGTCTGGGTAAGTAGAAATTTGAGAGATGAGGTGTATTTGTTAGGCATATGGAGAGCGAAGTCGAGCACAATTTACTCTGTAAATGGCTATTTGATGCCCTTACTCTGTAAACGTGCTTTGTTCATGAATGTTGATCCCTAACAATAGATTTTGTCCACATTCTTTTTCACAAAATAGGATTTTTCTTGATCAGAATCATGTTGCCTATACATTGCGTAAAAATAGATTATGAAGGAAAATAAATTTGTTGCTCAAAGACCCCGAAAGAAGTTTAACTAATTTTACATTGTTTTGCCGGCAAAAGTGGCGGATGAAATTATGAACTTTACACCCACTAATTGCATATTTGTCTACTTAAATATTAATTTACGGTTTAATAATTTTTATATATAATCTTTTGGTGATTAATATTATTAATGACCTTGTTATTATTGATGTAAACTTGAGTATAGTAAAATAGTATATAAATATTAATAAAAGATTTTTGGTTGATTATTAATTATTAATATAATTCAGATATTATATGAATTTTCGAATTTATTTTCCCTCTCTTAATTTCCTCTAATTTGAATTTGAATTCCTTCCATATTTTCCCCCTAATTTATTTCTCAATCAACCCCCTAATCACTCCCCATCTTTTGAATTCTTTCCAAACCAACCCCCCAAATCAGTGCATATTCCTTTCTCTCTCCCATTCCATAAAAAAAAAAGAACAAAAAATCTCTCTTTATCTCTTCACCGTACCCCTCTCTCTCCAACAGTACAACCCCAAAATAGGATTTTTCTTGATCAGAATCATGTTGCCTATACATTGCGTAAAAATAGATTATGAAGGAAAATAAATTTGTTGCTCAAAGACCCCGAAAGAAGTTTAACTAATTTTACATTGTTTTGTCGGCAAAAGTGGTTGATGAAATTATGAACTTTACACCCACTAATTGCATATTTGTCTACTAATAAATGACTTATACAACAATAACATCGGGAGTGAAAATCTAATAACTCTCGTATTTTTAAGGAGCCAAGATGAAGGTTATAAGGTGACGATCTTTGCAACGCTCTAACAAAAGAGACTACTGTAGGCTGTCTAAAAATCATAACAGATAGCTAATCTTCATCAAACACCAATGATGGAAGTTATAATTCGACGACTTCTAGAAGGCTACAATTTAAAAACTTTCACGTAGATCGATAAAAGGTTATAATCTGATGACCTTTGCAACAACTGGTGAAATCTCTAATCAACAGCCTTCACAATCAATATCGGAAGTTATAATCTAACGACTCTCATATTTTTAAGAAACCAAGATAAAGATTACAA